TTCATTTAACGTCTCAACACGGTTTTCAAATTCATTCTCAGCGTCATAAAAATGATTTACTTTCCAGTCACGGCGAAAAAAGTGGTAGAAAATTTCCTAACAAATAGTTTATATTCATTTTTCATTGTGTCGATGAAAATATTAAAATAAAATTTTTGAATTTGTGAATAAAATACATAGCACGTACATTCGCACTTTATTTCTCACAGGTTTTCGTGGTTATTTCGCATTATATCCAAGCATGTTTGTTTATATTAAGGTCTGTGTCGGTAGGAGTTGGCAATATTATTCAAGTTTTTTTCGTATAATATTTTGCTCATTTTTCCACTTTAGGATTTGTCGTAATCGACACGCGTAGCTAGCGGGAAAAAGAAACAGATTTTTTTATTAAATACCTATTATAAATAATACTTATTGTAAGTGTACACTCTTATGTGTAATTTACCACTGGTCCAATCAGGCCAATGAGACGTTTTCTACTGTTTACAGACATTTAAGTTACACAATTAACAACACAAAATTGTGCAAGTTTATCACCCTTATTCGCACTCTTAAGACACACACTGAATGAAATTAAGTGATGGATTGTCTGTTTTTGCGATATGAACTCTAGTGCCCGTTTCTTCCCAAAAAGCCGTGCACATTTTTTACAAAATAATATCATTTCTTATAGCATAAATTTCTGTTTAATCTTAAGTTTAACATATATAAAAATATTAATCAGCTATTAGAAGTAAATACAGAATATCACATAATATAAGTAAATGAAGTACGCAATACGCAATAAAAATAAATAAAAAGTAAATACATAAATACAATACATAAATAATTCTAGATGGGAGAAATCGTGGGGTTTGAGATAACGACGTTTTCTACTTTCGCTGCTTTTATCCCAAATTTTGAACTTGGAATAAAAATTTGAATGCAGTAATACATTAAACCTTCTATTAAAACATTGACTGCCTTTTCGGCAACAGACATAAACTGTAGTAGTCGCTTAACTTTGAGGTCCACACAAGACCTTAACCTTAAAAGAGGATTTATTAATTATATAATATTAACTAAAAACAATATTTGACCTACCATATCAAGTCATCTGCAGTTTGGTGAATTAATACACAGTAATACTTTTTAAGGTACTTAATAAAGAAACATGTTCATCGTGTAGATATTAAGCATTATATGTTACAACTTCTTTTTATAGGCATACTACAGTTAGTTTCTAGGATTTTGTCATGAGTGATGGTAGATAGAGAGACTAATATGTGTTGAAACTCCCCAATTAATGAAAAAGATTAATTAAGATTTTTGGCACGAATACTTTTTCTTTAAGTCATGTCTTCATTTCATTCGGGATCTTCGTTTTTATAGATTTTTCTTTTCGAGACCAAACTTGAAATTTCGACACAAAAATGGGTTCTGGGGCCAGAGATTTCGACAAGAGTTGTCGAAATCTCTGGCCCCAGAAACCAGTGGACAGTCGATGACGACAGTCACTTAAGATCAACAGGTGCCTAAACGACCAAAATATCTTCAGGTTTGTATATCAACATCTAAACACTTGTTTCATTTGCTCTAATAGTTCACATGCGCAAACAATATACAAAATCGCATCACTTTGAGGTATGAAAATCAACTGTAAACCACAATTTAAACGATAAAACAGGAGCAACAATCTGTCAATGGTCAAGTTCTTGCCAAAACTCCACTACTTAAGTATAAAGTGCTGCACAGACGAGTGAAAATCGTAGTCGTCAGTCACATTATATTGTGGCCGTGAAGGGAAAAGGGGAGATCTCCCGCCGGGCAAGGTGTTGTGCCCAGGGAGCGACCGGTACACTCCGTGTGATAGTTCGAAGATATTCTATATATACTGTTCACGATTCGGAATGTTGATTTAGGCTTCGGTGTGTTTCGGTGTACTAGTGGCGCGACGACAGCGCCCTCTCACCCCCCTGCTCACCGGAGGTCGATAGTGCAGCCTCGTTGCCGAGGAATATGCAAGTGCCAGCAGATTGCCTTGTAGTCTGCGGTGAGTCGAGAAGAAGGCAAGTTATCTGCGAGAGTGCCGTGAAGCAGAGGCGAGCAGTCAGTTTCAGAGCCGTGCTGAACACTGTATGGCACAGAGAGTAGCTTGAAGGAACAGGAAGCATTATTATTCTAGTGCTGCGATGAACCTTGTGAAGCTAGATGGCTTGTAGGATATGAAGACTGCAGACAATATCTGCTCGGGAGCGAATGGGTGGCGTATTTTTGACGATGATGAAAGCTTGAAGTTTCCGAAGGTTGTTGGTTGCATGTTCAGATCACGTCGGGGTCACCACTGTGGCCGTGAAGGGAAAAGGGGAGATCTCCCGCCGGGCAAGGTGTTGTGCCCGGGGAGCGGCCGCCACTCCGTGTGATAGTCCGGAGATGTTCTATATATACTGTTCATGATTCGGAATGTTGATAGCGTGAATTATGCTTCGGTGTGTTTCGGTGTGCTAGTGGCGCGACGACAACGCCGATACAATATATTTTAGTACAAGCAAATAAGGGGGTTGTTGCTTTGGGTTCTACTTTGGTGATATTTTGTATTAACTTCTAATAGATTTCGTTAATATTTTAAACTGTAAGCCCTTTACCACGTAGTGTTCATTTATTTGATAGTATGGGAGTATATTCTTACAATTTCTTAAATTCAGCATGTTAATTTACAGCTAGCTTGGATGTTTATTATTATTCTTTAGTTGTACACAATCCAGTAAATCAGTTTAATTATAAATGTTTACTTAAATATTACGATTAAAATATAAGCTTCAAAATTATATATTTCAATCGTATAATTATCGTTTTGTAACTATTTAACTAAATTTTCTTCAGTTTAAAGTATAAGCTGTCCTTAATATATTTAAGTCACATTAATACTGTGTGACCCCTGCTAGTCAGCAGTGATAGACAAGACAAATGTTTATTACATTCCGACGCGCGACATAGCTCGATGACAAATTCTTTAAGGAAGTCGTTTATTCATCTGTTAAAAGCTCTTGATTTAACATAGATTTCGTTTCTGATTCATCTTACACATTTTGCAACAACATTACGTTTTAATCTTTTATAGATGCTTTTAAATCTTTTTAAAGCCCGTGTGACTACTGTTGCACTTGGAAGTAAGCGGTAATCCATCCAAAGGTGATAAAGCTCTAACATTCAAAATAACAAAATCTACCAAAACAATAACAGGCAATGTTGAAATTAAAACTATATTGTCTTTTTATTTTATGGAATAAGGGTAACAAATATCCTTACTTCAGTACTTTGGCACGTAGAGACCTACTTTCTCATGCACTCTCCATCACTAATCTATAAAATTTAGGCGGTTTTAGTTTAAGCGTTTATTTTTGTGGTTTTTCCATTGATTCAATCCGATTTCTGTAGTCAGTTTTGCTAGAAGTGTCTCAGTCAAACGGCAGTGACGCTGTAATTTTATGTCGAAGCCGGCATTTTACTAGTAAGTAAAGTATGTCATTATCATTACAACATCCCTTAACATGTCCACTGCTGAGCATAATTCCTAAAGGAATGCTACTAAATACGGTGATAAACCAGCTGCTTCTGGAATCCACTGATGTTTACCCGATCACCACTCCATCAAGTGTGAAACCACCCTAAACTTCTATTACACCGAATTACGCGAATAATACACATGGAATAAAACTATTTTTAAAGAATACTATTGAACTTAATTTACTTATTCTTAATTCCCAATGTTTCTCTTTACAACACCCATGGCCCCCCACGTCCATAGATATCATCGTCATCAGCCTGCGGCAGTCCACTGATGGACATAGGCCTCTCCCAAGGCGCGCCACTTAGCCCGATCTTCAGCTACACGCATCCAGTTTCTACCAGCCATCTTGCGCAGATCGTTACTCCATCTGGTATATAGATATAGACCATAGATAATATACTACATACCAGAGATGAGGGACTGAGATGTTTGATGTCCCGAAGTAATAGTTAGCCAGGCTATCTTCAGTTTTCGAATATTAATTTTTCACCCGATCTACGGAGAACGAGCTGACTATCTTGAAGTCTTGCAATGGTATGCATGGATACAATATCTTCATTAGAAGCTAAAGAAATTACAGCAAGATTTAAAACATCTCACACCAGCATGAGCTATCTACGAAGAAAGGTGGTAATTTATTTAATGCGCTCACTCTAAGGTCAGATTAGCAGCTATCCGTGAAATGTCCAATCAATTTTGTCCAAGCTGCCCCGTTTTACCGTGATTACGTTCTAGAAAAAAGCACAAATATTTTTTGTCTAAACATTTTAAAACGTTTTCAGTTAATTGAATAACTAACATGAATAAAAACTCATATATATATAAGTTCAGTACAGATACATTATAAAATTTTTGGACAATTCTCATTAAGCTTAGCAAAAACTTCCTCCAAAATTTTTTCAAAAGTATCATATAATAATAATAATAATAATAATAATAATAAATGGCGTAGGGAAGTGACGACCCCATCGCCCGTTGACGTGACGGTTATGTGACAAAACCGCTACGTCCGCGCAGTCAGTCAGCACCTTGCCAAGAGGTGTGAGCGCCGTGCCTCGGCAAAAATTGATGGTGCAAGGGCCCGCTTGTGCATATGGCCTCACCATGAAACGGCGCCGGGTCTGGGCGTCTCCCGTTAAATGACGCCCTGTATGGATGATGGAACATAGAAGATTGCGCAAAGGGCCGCTGCCTGGAGGTCGTCAGGGCGCGTCTGGAGCTGGCGCTGGACGCGACAGCATGCGAACCGCCAGCCGAGCGCGAGGTGCTGCACGACCACCCAGCAGCCCCTCGCATCCATCATCCCCACCAGCTTGCTTGGTGTCGGCAGGGTCTTCGCAGGCCCAGCAATCGGCACCCGCCACTGGTGGAGTACGCCGCATGCGATGGACCATCAATATGAATTCAAACGCATTGCGGGCGTATTTTTTAGGGCGAAAGGGGGGAGAAATTGGAGGTTTCGCGTATCGGGCTAGGATGCATCGTCTTTTTACTGAGCTGGAGCCATCTATTACTGTCACCGAGCAAAACCTGGCAGACCGAGTTCGGTATATCTTACGCTCAAATATATTTGATGGCGCCGAACTCGAACGGCTACGACGTGAGGCTGTTCCCCTCATCAAATGAAAACGCTACGACTGAGGGTGCGGTGCCACAAGTTGCAGAACAACCCGCACACGTGGATGCCGCTGAGAATACCCCAGTGGTTGCTGATTCAAATGATGATGGAACATTCACCCAGGAACTAGAAATAGAGCAAATGAGGAGTACATTGGAAGAGGCGATTATGGAAACGCGCAGTACGCCTCTCGAAAATCGACCGCGACTTCCCCGCATAGCCCTAAGCAAGCGGAATCGGGCTGTCGTGAGGGCTCTGAACCCAATGCTGGTGACCTATTTGGAAGCCAGCCGGGACCTTTGCGAGACGGACTCAATTCTCTTTGGCGCCGCACTGGCAGTCTGCCGTATTATAGGCGCCAAACTTTCCACGGCTGGACGCACTACTGGACAAAGTAGTGCTATCCCAGCCTGGAGAACAAGAATTGAAGAACGTATCGCAAAGGCTAGGGCCCTCATCGGCAGACTGATATGCTTCAGGTCAGGCAATACCAGGCCAAGGATTGTGCGCACCGTCAGGATGGCGTTTGCTGGGACAAATGTTAGTTTGTCCCAGCCGGATATAATGCAAAAACTGACGGAGCGCATAGACGACCTGAAGCAGAGAATCGCTGCTTGGGGAAAGCGAATTCGGCGATATACCGAGAGGTCGACACGGTTCAACCAGAATCGTCTCTTCCAGAGTGATCAGAAGAGGCTCTATAAATCATTGGAGCGACCAATGGTAAGTGAAACGGGCCCAGTACCGAATCAGGCCGACACGGTCGCATTCTGGCGCAGCCTGTGGTCAGAGCCCGTAAACCACAACGAGGGCCCTTGGACGGAAGTTGTGGCGAGTCAGTGTGCGGGTATTACGCCCATGGACCCCGTCACCATAACGCCGGATGACGTAGCTGAGGCGGTCCGTAGGGCCCCGAACTGGAAAAGTCCGGGACTCGACGGGCTGCATCACTACTGGCTGAAGGGGTTCGTGGTGTGTCACACTGTGCTCGCCCGACAGTTTCAAGAGGTTCTCAACCAGAAGTCGCTCCCGAGCCTCTTCACTACTGGGATCACCCATTTGGTTCCTAAAGGCCAGAGTACCACAGACCCGAGCAAATACCGCCCCATCACATGTCTACCGACCATATATAAGACACTAACATCCATTTTGAGCGCGAGAATCACTCGTCACCTGGACTCAAATCAGGTGATGTCGCGCGCTCAAAATGGATGTCGGGGCGGCGGTCGTGGAACCAAGGAACCACTCCTCATTGACGCGGTCATTGGCAAAGTGAAAAGTGAAAAACATACCGATACCTGGGTATGTCACAGAACATCGGTATCGATGAGGCTGGTGTGAAACTGTCAGTTTGCGACGTGTTTTATGCACGCTTGACCAAAGTGCTTAACAGCCTTTTGTCCGGTGTGAATAAGACACACTCATATAACGGCTGGGTCATGCCTGTCCTCATGTACACCTTTGGCATACTCAGGTGGACTCAGACTGAGCTTAACGCCCTGGATAGAAAAGTCCGCACTACCATGACGTCCCATAGGATGCATCATCCGAGATCGTCGGTAATGAGGCTGTACTTGCCGCGGAAGTATGGTGGGCGTGGCTTTCTGAGCGCGCTCACCATGCATAATCGCGAAGTGTGCAGTCTCCGTCAGTACTTCTTGGCGAGATCGGATGATCCATTCTATAATGACGTCATTTCTAGTGATAAAGGGCTTACCCCTCTATCCTTAGCCAACGAGCAATGGCAGGACCCAGCAGTGCTTAGCAATTCCGACCGGGAGACCGTATGGAAGGAGAAGGAGCTCCACGGGAGGTACTACAAGACTCTACATGAGCCCTTCGTAGATACAGTCGCCTCCCTCAACTGGCTACGTTTCGGTGACCTCTTCGGGGGAAACCGAGGGTTTTGTCTGTGCAATACAGGATCAGGTTATTAAGACCAACAACTATCGGAGATACATCCTAAAGGATGGCACCGTCGACGTCTGTCGAGCTTGTCGCCATCCCGGGGAGTCACTTAGGCATGTCATCTCCGGTTGTTCGGCGCTTTCTAACTCTGAGTACTTGCACAGGCACAACCTAGTAGCCAGAATTCTACACCAGGAGCTCGCTCTGAAATACGGTCTCGTGGACCGGAAATTGCCGTATTACAAGTACTTGCCGGAAGCCGTGCTCGAAAATGACCGCGCCAGACTCTACTGGGACCGGGCCATCATCACAGACAGGACTATTCTTGCGAATAAGCCTGATATTGTGCTGATGGACCGGGCACAGTCAAGGATATTTTTGGTCGATATTACCATCCCGTATGACGAGAACCTCGTGAGAGCCGAAACAGATAAGCAATCAAAATATCTGGACCTGGCTCACGAGGTGACGGACATGTGGGGTGGTCTGCCGGCCGAAATTATTCCTGTAGTCGTCTCTGCGAATGGGCTAATCCCAGTTAGCCTCTCTGGTCATCTGAGGCGACTGGGACTCCGTGACGGACCACTCCGGGCTCAAATGCAGAAGGCGGTGCTCCTTGATAGTGCCCGCATCGTCCGCCGGTTTCTTTCCCTTTCTTCCTAACCCTTGGCCGTTTGGTCTCCCCTGCCGAGGGCTTCCATCTGGTTGGGCTTTTATTTATTTATGTATTTTTGTATTTATTTTATTTTATTGATATTTATGTATATTTATCCTTTCATTTTCGTTTATAATTATATATTTATACATCACAACCAGATGAGAAAACTATATAGATACCCCACACATAATAATAATAATTTCTTTATTCAGGAAAAATTTTAACAATATATATTTGCATCTGCGCCTGAACTAAGCAATAAGCTTGTATCTCAGGCAACAGTGCTCTTTCTTATGGGACAATTCAACAGAAATCTTTCTGATTAAGAAACTTACGTAAACATATTATATCAAACAATAATATTATATAAAGTATGAAAATTAAACCTACGTATATAACTAAATATATTTTTGTGCGTAAATTGTTCCTCTCGTATGTGTGTGTGTGCTAATGTGTGTGTGTGTGTGTGTGTGTGTGTGTGTGTGTGTGTGTGTGTGTGTGTGTGTGTGTGTGTGTGTGTGTGTGTGTGTGTGTGTGTGTGTGTGTGTGTATGCGAGGGAGAGGGTGAGTAGTATACATTAAAGTAATAATTATAATAAGAAAATATAATTTAATGGTATATTAATTATACGTTATAGAAGTAAATCAGTTATTTAGGGATTTCAATAATACTTCTGTTTCGTCATAATCTAGTTTTTGAAGCCATTTGAATAGGGTTTTTTTACATTGATTCTTATTTAAAATGTATAAATTTAGTTGCTTATTTATATTATTGTACAAGAATGGACCAAGAAAAGAAAAATATTTATGTGCATACCAATGTTTAAAGGTAGTAGTAAGGCACACTTTGTCGGATCTTCTCTTTATTAATTGAGATGAGGTAAAATTTAATAACCCATGTTGCTTTAAAATCGTCAGATAAATGTATAATTGTCGGACTGTTAATACTTGGCAGTGTTCATATAGTTCATATGTTGGATAGAGAATGGGTAGAAAAGTACAAACCTTTAAAATAGCTCTCTGAGCTCTTTCCAGTGGAGCTAAAGTAGTTTTTGGGGCTCCGCCCCATATTGTTATACCGTAAGTTATAATGGATTGACACAATGCAGTGTATATTTGTTTCAGTAGTTCAGGTTTAGCTACATGCCTCAGAATTTTAAAGACATAAATAAGCTTTCGAACACGGGACGTTAAAACTTCTAAATGATCTTTAAAATTCAGTTGATTATCAATAAGAATACCTAAATATTTAACACAGTTGGTTTTGGATAAAGATGGGCAGGTACACGGTAATCCTAAAGGTTTTATTAAATTTAAACAAATGTGAGCAGTTAACTTATAGTTGATAGTTGATTGAGGATCAATTGTCATGGAAAAGGTAATATATTTAGTTTTTTCAATATTAATAGATAGGTGGTTATTACGTAACCATACTGAGACAACATCAATTCCAGTTTGAGCGTTATCAAAAGCCTCCTTCCATGTACTTGCTGAGAATAGGAGTGCTGTGTCATCAGCATATGATATGATTTTGCCATGGAAGGATTTAAGTTTTAAGAGGTCATTTATGTAGACGAGAAATAGAATTGGGCCCAGAATACTCCCCTGAGGAACTCCGTAGCTAACAGGTACATCAGAACTATACTGGTTATTTATTGTAACACATTGTAGTCTTCCAGTTAGATAGCTTTCAAATAATTTTAGTTGTGTACCCCGTATACCAATTTTTTCAAGTTTCCTTAGCAGAACGGGGATAGAGACCGTGTCGAACGCTTTGGCAAGGTCCAGAAAAATCCCTACCGTTTTATTGCCTTTGTCTAATTTTTTGCTGATATTATCGGTTAATTCATGTACTGCATCATTGGTAGATTTTCCGGATCTAAACCCGAATTGACAGTTTGATAGAATATTAAAGTTCTCTAGGTATTTTACAAGTCTGATATTAATAACATTTTCCAATACTTTTGAAATAGAAGGAAGTATAGAAATAGGCCTATAATTATTCACATGGTCTCTATCTCCAGATTTATATATGGGGTGAATTATGGATTTTTTAAAATAATTAGGGAATATTCCGTTCACGAAACATAAATTAAAGATATAAGTTAATGGTGGGATTAGGATATGTCGAAAAGTTTTTAGAAAGTTATTAGAGATTTTGTCCCAACCAACTGTACATTTTGATTTTAAATTTATTATAATGCGTTCTACTTCGTCCACATCAGTAGATAATAATACAAACGATTCTCTTGTTGTATCAAGGTTAATTTGTGATAATTCTTGTTTTTCTACAATATTTTTTTCTGCGATGTTTTTCCCAACAGTTGCAAAGAAATTATTAATACTATTTAAGGAGTCTTTAATACAGTCAGTTTTCAGTAATTCCTGAGACGATGATTTCTGCTTAGATGTGTGTGTAATAATTTTAATGACTTCTAGCTTGGCTAAAGAACATGGGGTCTGTAAACGCTCACAACAATGAGATGCTCAAACTCAACACATGCCATTTCTACAGTTCGCTCAACAGAGAGGCTCACAATATCTTTAAGTTCTTTACATGATAATAATTTACTAACTAAAATTAAGGAGCCACATCTTAAAACCGTTTCCCTATTGAAAGAACTGACCACCTGGTGATTACTGAAGTTAAACATTAAATTATGAGTTTTTAACCAATGTTCAGTAATACATAAAATGTGAATATTGTTGCTATTTAAGAACAATTCAATTTTTAGCTCTTTGCCTATCATACCTTGTATATTCTGATGCACCAGGTGTAAACAATTTTTATTATCATTTTATGGAGTTATACAATTGCAACTATTAAGGATTTGTAAGCTACATTCTAAATTATTTAAATTATTATAACTGCTAGAGATTACCTCATTTTCAAATTTAAGTTACTTGGAACGGATTCCAAATTGCATGTCACATCATTATGCTGCTCAATAGGAGCAGATGTCTCGGTAGCCAAGTCATTGGCTGAGTTAATATATAAATAATAAGATAGCACATTTGCTATCTGTCTTAAATTATATTTGGATAGGTAATACCTATCTGTAGTCAGAAATTTCTTAATTAAATTATGAATGTATATTCAATTGATTTTATTAGTATAATATTTCTAAATTTTATTAGTAAAATATATAGTTTTCGAAGGTTTTTTGGTTGCGTGTTCAGAACACGTGGGGAGATCTCCCGCCGGGCAAGGTATTTTGGCCGGGGAGCGATCAACACTCCGTGTGTTGGTTCGGAGATATTCCATATATACTGTTTATGATTCGGAATGTTGATAGCGTGATTTAGGTTTCGGTGTGTTTTCGCTTGCGGCGCAATGACAGCGCGGCCACATCACCCCCTGCTCAGACCGGAGGTCGATAGTGCAGCCTCGTTGCCGACGAATGTGCAAGTTCCAGGAGATTGCCTTGTAGTCTGCGGTGAGTCGAGAAGAAGGCAAGTAATCTGCGAGAGTGCCGTGAAGCAGAGGCGAGCAGTAAGGCTCAGAGCCGTGCCGAACACTGTATAGCGCAGAGAGTAGCTTGAAGGAACAGGAAGCATTATTATTCCAGTGCTGCGATGAACCTTGTGAAGCTAGATGGCTTGCAGGATATGAAGACTGCAGATGATATCTGCTCGGGAGCGAATGGTTGAGGTACTTTATAACGATGATGACTCTTGAAGTTTCCGAAGGTTTTTGGTTGCGTGTTCAGACCACGTCGTGGTCACCACTATAGCCGTGAAAGAAAAGGGGAGATCTTCCGCCGGGCAAGGTGTTCTGCCCGGGGAGCGACCAACACTCCGTGTGATAGTTCGGAGATGTTCTATATATACTGTGTATGATTCGGAATGTTGATAGCGTGATTTAAGCTTCGGTGTGTTTTCGCTTGCGGCGCGATGACAGCGCCGCCACATAATTATTACAATTAAATGTCAAATTTAAATTATTGTTACATGACAAATTATTCATTAATAAATTTAAATCATATCTTATTTTATTCTCCTGTGGCCAACCCTGTATGTAAGGCAATGAAAACAAGATAATTTTATGTACATTTAAAGTATTGAGGTAATCAATATATTTTAATAATTAATTTTTTTTACATTGCCTCTTCTCCCAACAAGAATAATTAATGTGCTATTAGAAAAACTTGATTCATTAAATGACTAAAGGATGCTCCAGGCATACAATAATTGCTAATCACTTGTCCTTTTAAATGGTTATTTAACATCATGCCCAAATTTTTACCTATATCATCACAATACATAATAACTTTATGTTTTTTTAATATTTAAATTACTTTTTAGGTTTTTATTCTTTGTTATGGCACGGTCATAGAGTGTGGGTGACAATAAGGAGTCATTAATATTTACACATATTGTCCCCGATGAAAACGGTATGGAGCGCTGATTCTCACTCTGATGTTTTATTAAGGAGTCAAAGCGCTCCTCATTGTATTTACAGGACTTTACCAGATCATTCAAGGCCAATATGTGTTCATTTATCTCAACCTGAGCCGATGCATATTTATTTGAGATATTTTGTAAAGAGTTTTTAAGAGACTAAACTTCTGAATTGAGACACTCTATTTCAGTCTCATAACAGTTTTTCATATTTTCCACCTCAATTGAATATAATTTAAGTTTTTTAATTAATTCATGCTTTTCCTCTTTAATATTTCTAGTTTTAATTAACTTTTGCACTTTCCTAACATATTTATTAATTTTTATATATTTCTTTAATTTTCTTCTACTGCATGTAATCCTTTCTGCTGTTCTTGATGTGACAAAATCATCACCAGTCAAATCGATTTATGTGGAGTGTTGCAATGTTTTTGAAGATTTACATTCTATGAGCTCATTGAACAGACTTTGAGTTTGGGACACTTTCAAATCATCTGAGTATTATTTTAATTGCACAATCTGCTCACTAGCCTTACTTAACTGTAACTGCAACGCAGAAATTAATCTGAGAGACTCCTCATATTCCTTTCTGCATTGGTCAAACTCATCGACTGTTCCCTGAAGCTGATCCCTTTCTTTTAAAACATTTGTATAGTCTTTATGCAACTTAACCATATCACTTTTTAGTTGGGTATTCTTGGCAATTATATTTATTATTTCCTTTTCGTTGTCATCCCTTTCTTTGCTCCTTTGACGCCTTAAGTTCCAGAAGCGCCATTTGAAGTTGGTTCTCCATTGGCGCGTTTTGGCGTTGCGTGTATTCATTTTACTATTATGTGTAAATAGCAAAAGAAAACAAAGAAAGAAAACCGATGAAACAGAGTAAGCTAATATCTAGATCTATGGGTCTACTTACAGATCTCAAATTAAATTATCAGATAAATGATTCAAATTGAAAACCGAAACAGCACTTACTTAAAAGGTAAATCTTAAAATATTAAAGGGATAACAAGAATTACACTAACTTACAGAAATTTCAAACGATGTTTGTTACAGCTATCACTTTTAATTGAAACAAAAAACACTATTTAAAATACTTATGAGTTTTTTTATTCTACAAACACAATTAAGTCCTATTTAACAACTGTAACTAGAAATTTAGGTGGATATTATCAATAATGATTTCTTAAATTTACGCGAACACTACACATTGAATAAAACTAAATTTACGGATTTTATCGCGTTTATTTCATAACTTTTACTTATTTTTAATTACCGACGTTTCGGGTGCTTTACAGCACCCATGTTCGAGGGGGGGGGGGACTGAGATGTTTGACGTCCCAATGTCATAGTTAGTCCGGCTACCTTCAGTTTTTGAATATTAATTTTTGGTCCAATTTATGCAAAACGAGCTTATAGTATCATGAAGTCTTGCAGTGGTATGCTTAGGTTTGGGTATAATTTTGTTAATTATAGGATCCCAAGCAGGTGGCAGCACCCATCCATCTTCTATATTTAAATTTGGATGTTTTTTTAATTTCAATAGCCTCGCGTATCATCCTTGGTAGGAATCGGTGTTCTTTTGCGAGAGTTTGTGGTTTATCAAATCGAATGTAATGGTGGGGACGATCTTGAACATGTTCGCAGACTGCAGACTTCCCGCAGCGTCGGTGCGTCACGTCAGCTATATGTTCTTTCACGCGGGTTTTTATGGATCTTTTTGTTTG